TTAGGGTCCCTTTTTAGGGTTCCTTTTTATAGGGGTGGCGTACTACATTGGGGACCTAACAAAGGGACCCTAATTTAGAGAGCTACCCGTTTAGGAAATACTACAAGGTAGTTGGGAACGGGTTTCGACAGAAGCTCTATAGACCCTCAATGCCAGGCTCTGAGCTTGCTTGTCCAGTCGAAGCGTCTAACAGCTGCTTGCTCAAAGCCTAGGCCATCGACCTTGTCGTACTACCCTCCAGTGTCTAGCTACCTGCCGAAGCCCTCAACCCCTGCACTTAAGCCCTAAACCCCTAAAATCCTCTAAAGCCCCAAATCCTGGAAACCCCAAAGCCCGAAGCCCCCTAAACCTCCAACCCCGAAACCCTAACAACCCAAAGCCCCAAGCCCTGAGCCCCCGTACTTGTTTCAGCCTGTCTTAATCAGTTCGTAGCTATAGACGCGAAGATGCTGAAAGCGGCTCTGCCAAGCTGCGTAGTTGTTCAACGGCTCGCCCATGCCCATGAACACCTCAACTTCGGGCTCCCCCACTTAGGCGCCAACTCTGAAAGCTCCTAGAGGAGCCCTCAACAAACCCTCTAGTTTAGGGTTGGGGGATAGGGCTTTAGGGCTTTAGGGCTTTAGGGGTTTAGGGGTTTGGGGTTTAGGGTTTAGGGGTTTAGGGGTTCAGGGTTTAGTCTAGGCCACCAACAAACCTTAAAGTCTCCAAAAACCTTGGACGTTGAACGAGGACAGCCCTGACCAAGCTCGAAGCATGACCCAAAGGTTGTAGGGTTTAAGGACTTTAGGTCAAGCTTGTTCTAGGCCTGAATCGTTAGTACTTGCGTTTTTGGCGTTACTATCGTGTCGTTAGAACAAGGAGCCCTAAGAAATAATACTGGAGGCGTAGCATTTAGGGAAAAAATCCCTGCTGCATCCATCCGCCTCAATTCCAATCGAACCCTTAAGGAGGCCCTACAAAAGATCCCTAGAACATTTTTAAAACCCTAGACGAATACTGTAAAGCTCTCTGAAACTCTGACCCTATAAACCCTAAACCCCAAACCCAAAGACCTAAACCCTAAACCCCAAACCCTAAACCCAAAACACCCTAAACCCTAAAAGCCCAAAACCCCAAAAAACCCTAAACCCAAAACAGACCCAAACCCAAAAACCCCAAAAGACCCACAACACCGAAAAAAACACCCCCCCAAAAAAAAACAAACCCAACAAAACCCCGCCAAAAAAAAGCCTACGCAACTCCCCTAACAGCGGCCAGAGGCGCCGCGTTGCGCACCGCCGG